GCGGCGAGCACGATGACGAGAGGAGCATCTGCTAGAGATTAGACTGCCCACTAGGTACCGAATCGTTCCGGAAACTACCCAGTACTTTCACCTTAGGCCAGCTAGCGCGACATGAGTAGCTGCGCACAATAAACTTTCATCGACACAGAGCACCTTCTGTCGTTTATTCGACATATGCATTTGGTCACGTAGTCGAGCTCTTGTCTGGTCAGCTGAGAAAGGGCCTGAAAACTGCAGAAACCAAAGGATTTTGGCTGAGTCAGCCTCGATGCTCCACTGCAGGCTCCACCTCATTCTTTTGCCACTAGGCTTCGAGCGGCACACACGGTACTCTTACAGGCTTGTCGTATCGTAACACATAATGCAGCAAGGCTATTCTCGTTCTGTTGCCGTAAATGGGCCGACACAAATAAGTAGCGTCGTGGCGCTGTTGCTCGTGTGGCCTTGTGGTAATTTTGTTGTTGTTATTTATGCGACAAGCAAGGAAGGTGGGTAACTTTGGTCATCCATTTATGATATAAAACGGCAAACCAGTTCTGCGAGAGTGTTAAATAGACGCTGAGTTCTTCATGCTATACTATCGTAGCTAAGGCGGTTTTATACACCTAGGATAGGTTAGGGTTGGGAGCTAGCCGCCTGAGGGGATGCCTAACGGCGATATCGGACGTAAAACTCGGAGCAGAAGGGATAGGTTAGGGAAAGAGATGAGACCGAAGGCGCTGAGGATTATGCAATTGTTATTATTTGCTGTGTTTTCTAGACGAAGTTCAGAACTAGGTTTTCGATTCCCAGTATACTTTACACGTTAAGAAGAAAAAATTGTCAGCGCACATGAAATTCGCTATGAAGCAGTCACTAGAAGAAGCTTATGTTGTTTATGGACACAGGTGTCTAGAACGAAGAAACGACGGCTAATTTTCATGAATGTTACCTAATTGCCATGATGCGATAGCTTCGTAATTGCTATATACTTACATCTTAAAATATGGATGCATTTAGAAAAGCTTTGATTGATTTACTAACCGAAGTTCGACGACGAATCGCTTCCGTGTAAAGGCGGTAAAGTTAATCGTCTTAGCTAAGTATGCCAATTGCTACCATGGTCCAAGTAAAGAAAATAAAAATTCAGCTTTGAGTCTCTCTTGTATAGAACGAAGCAGCAGTAACCAATTAGGCACTAACTGAGGCATAAGTGAGGTACGAGCTGTATTGTTAAATGAATCTTAGTGCTGAGATACTTTCGCAAAAACAAAAACAACGCATTACTTAAGGAATGCTGGATAATTAAGATACAAAGAATAATGGAACATAGATTTGTTTTTCCCTAGCTTCGTTTGCAAGTAGATGCTGGTGCTGACTATAATATGTGTTGTTTTCTTTTTATCTTCTAGCGATGTATCGATTCCATAAGCGTATCTACAATTAACGGCAACATCATTAGCTTCCGTTCTATACCTATTAGACATCAGATACTAGCCAGCTTAATACACCTGCACCCTTATGAGTATATATATGCAAAAACGCGCTCACGGCTAAAACAGCGTTCGTATCAACTGAAGATGTTCCTTTTTTACTTTTGGCCTAAACTCAAGCTGCTGTTTACTCATGGTATCTCGCATACCTTCGAATAAGAACGTGTTTCGCCTGCAACGGTCCCTGGTGAACGTCATTATCAAAGGAGCTTATTGTGGGTAGCATCACCCGAACGGTGTCAAACGGTTTCGTACGTAATATGACATACGTTCCACAAGTGCCCTTAGATATATGTTTAAGACCAGCTATGGTTATTTTGCATTGTTGCCAAAGGGAGAGGCTTTTACACCCGCGTTCATCTTGTGGCCAGCACTGGCTGTATAGCCTTTTTAAGGTTCTTCCCTTCGCTATCTTTAATTATTACTCTGCCGAGCTCATAGGAGAGCGTTCTTGCTATTAGGACAGCGGCCTCTTTTCTCTCGATGGTTTCTCCAGTGACTAACTTCTTTTTTGGCGATTTGCGCTTAGTTACCTGAGATGGTACCTGAATGTTACGTTTAAAATCCTGCTTACAACTCTCTTCAGCAAACCTGAAAGTGTACCGGCACCCTTATTTTCTAGTTGTTATTGTCCCTCAACAAAGGCTAGGATAGGCAGACAGGACCGACAATACGCTTCACACAGACATATTGACCAGGCACTACAGCACTGCTTTAAAAAAAGCCACAGTGTTATGTTATATTTTCCAATATGTAATATGGGTGTATGTGTGTCGATGGATAATAAGAAGTAACTATAAAAACGGACCGAAGACGACATGATATATATAATGAGTATATTAGGTGAAAAAAGCTTCTCTTATGCCATTAAAGTAAATACGTTCAACTGGTAAGAAAGAGTAGTGAACAGGCTGATCTAGCGTTTTATTGTTTTCCAGATTTTAATCAGACCGAGAATAGTGACTGTACGTTGAGCGCAGAACTAGTATAACTGCACGGAAAAACATTTTCTCCTTATTTGACCAGAAAATGTAACATCTGTTGCGGATCGTAGTAGGACAGATAACGCATCCAGTTTTCTTTATTTTTCAAATTGGTTCCTCATTAGCTTTAATCGACTCCCGCATTTTTGGCACTAGACGAGAATTTAAAGTCAGGTCAGGTCAGACAGACGGCTCGACCTTTTGGTCATGTCGAAAACTATACTGCGGCCCATTTTAACGTAACGTCATGAAGATGAGACATGGACGATCCCTAAAGAAAATTTGTCTAGCTCGAAGGATAGAAAATCAACTAAATAAAAGGTGGAAATATACAAATTTATTATTTCTTACTACCTAAGTAAAACTTTGTAATACAGCAGCATTGCATAAGATATTCAGACCAGTTAATGCCAAATTTTTGACTAAATATTTGCATATATGTCTAACTTATGAGACTCGTAAAATTGCAGCATCTGAAATAACGAAGGCCGTTTACTTCCGGTCGTCTGCCGTTATTTATTACGCCTCGCTCAAATTTAAGCCAACTTTACTTCAAGTTACCTTGACAGATTCCACTGATAGAAGGCCTAGCGACGCGTTTTTAAACTCGCGTATTAAAAAAGATTTATTGTTAATGCTACTCTCGGGGACGGCGAAAATATTTTCCATTTGAGGAATCAGTAATTAACGAGATAACGAAGCGCAATAACTATCGATTAAGTTCTGAGGTTCTCATAGTATCATTCTTTCTCCGTCCTATCCACAGCAGCTTGAATATGATAAATAGTTTTAAAATATAAGAATAGATAACTAAGCTAGAGATATGCTCAAAATGTCTTCAGCTATCTATCTGGGACAAAAGCAACACCATCGTGTCCTATGGAAATTGAAAAATTAGGACATTTCATTTCTTCGCTTTTTTGCTTATATCGATAAATGTGTAGTGGTTTTAAAGATGGTAAAACCTATCTCTGGACCTTTTTTTTCCTGAAAAGGGTGTTTTTTTTAGAGTAGTAAGTAGACTGGACTTAGTTGACTGATATTCACTAAGCTGCTAATTAATGAGTTGGGTTACAGATGTTTTAATAGGCCAGATATAGTGTTTACTAAACGCTGTATAAGGGAATAGCTAGATAAAGCACTCAAAAAATCTCATTTCTAGATTTATGCGAAAAAATTAGCTGACACAAAAAAAAAGAGAAAAAAATCTATTCAAAATGTACAATGAGTTAGATAGTAGAACGGCGTACCTGAGGTTTTCCGACCTGCACAGCAAATGATAATTCGCATTGTATGTAGAAACTCACCTGTGTTCACCCACGCTGTCGCAAAACGGTTGAAGGCGACATGAGTTGAAATGCCTAGGTGCTCAGACCTATAAACCCTATTTTAAACTAGGATTTTATACCTTTGTGAAGATTCAAAAAACTTTTCATTTTACTCGCTCACCGTGGCTCATTGTGACTGGTCCTATTAACGTCGAAAAAACCTTATCGCAGCGTACGGTTTCTCCCGTTTCTGAATTCCTAAGACGATTCCATAATTCTGAGCCTGAGCCACAAAACCTAGCAATTGTTCTGTAGCACTTAGAACCGCCATGTAAGCCTCCTGAGTAGAAGAAACTTTTTTCAAAACATCTTGTTTCCTCCTCCCATACCTTTTAACGACTTACTAGCTTATAGCCTTTCAAGAGAACTAGAAAAAACTTATAGGAACGGAACACGACTACAGCGATTTATGGGGGTCCTATCTAATTGACCTCCATGTTAAAGCACGATGTACAACGATACCATTTTACAAATTTTTTCCCGGTTCAATAGTGGCGCACTTTTTTCGGCTCATCAAATGAAACCAGCACTTAGAAAAGGCCCACTCATTGTAAGAGGCATAGAAGACGATGTAGATATCGGAAAAACTATGATTCGTTGTATATCTATTTGCTTGCGACCGTCCTGTGCAGGGAATGGATGTCGTGCGTTGTCCATTTTCTGCCAAGACGGAACGTGCGTACTGTAGGACCTTATACTTGTGCATATAAGAAACGTCATGGTAAGTGTGTCTTTGCACTGTAAATCCTAATACTTTGTCGCAAAAGTAAGTGGATTACGTATTAGACCCGTGTTTATATGAAGTTCCTGATGACCTTTGGTCGTCGATAGTACAATATCTAGGTAGCAGTCATTTACTCTACTGAAAATATATTTTTGAGCAAACTTATTAAACTGGGCACTTGATTACGGGTGTATGAAAGTTTTGGAATCAAAACTAAATCTTTGATTTTTATTGTTATAATAATATCGGTAGGTAATGTATGAAAGGTAGGAATGGATTACATATAAAACTACAAACTAAGCAGTACCTCGTTCCACGGAGGAGTTGTCTTAAATGATGACAGAGTCTAATGATGATAAAAGTTACTAATCATGCATGCAATTGCCTTACTTTTTGGCACTTTTACAGGAGCCTACTAGCGAATAAAATAGCTGAGAAGATAGTAGGTGTGAACGTAGAAATAAGTTCTAAACGCCCATTCAAAACACGCAACGAGCTCAACTACGTTGTTTAATTGTAAGATCATTCAAATATAAGGATTCTGGCCGTAGAATACCGACGGAGAATGGTACCATTGTCGGCCATACGAATGAGCACCATCGTAGAACCGTTGCCGACCAATTTCGGCATGATTCAAACCTGGGGCTTGACCATGCGCCGATGGACAGCCATGCGCCGACGGACCCACTGATGGAGATCCGCTGTACCTATATCCCAAGGAGTTGGCCGCTGCTTGCGAATGCGCTGTTGGCCGCGCCGATGCTAGCTTGCCAAGGATGTGAGGATCGTGAGCACCTAAGGTTCGCTTAAGCAAGTCGTAGCCCATAAACGTCGTGAGTGCCGAACCTATAAATGGCACGATAAACGCGAAAGTAATTTCCGGAAAACTAATTTGCGACTCGACAGGCTTTACCTTTTTACTATATCTGACTGCAGCTTCAGGAACCGTAGGATACCTAGCAGCCTGAAATTCGGGCCTTATTAGCCCTTTTAATTTGTCCAGGGCAGTCTGTTTCATCCAATCTTCGTAGTCAGCAATGATGCGATTAGAGGCACCTTTGACCTCATTTAGAGCGTCCTCATTATTTGACATCCAGCTGTATAGATCGAAGTTGGGTCTTCCTGACTCGTACAAAAGGTCGTTGTACAGTGCCTTTGTTTTCATATAGTTCTTGTGCATGTCACCCACGTTATCTTCGACCTTTTCTAACATCTCATTGAGAAAACTAAAATGCGTTCGCTGTTTAAAGTCGAGGAAGAATTTGTAAAAACGTGATCTGCCGTCATGCCTCGCAGTTTCAAGGAGGTCAATACATTTTTTCGCCTTCTCTTCTGCCTCGGCTAGTCGGGCCATATTTTGTCGCAGATCTTTAGCCACTTTTTCCACATCTTTGGCCATTTCGCTGTTCTCGTCCGCAAATATAATCCAATCGAGGATGTTCCACAGCGCTATAAGAACAACTACGAAAACACAAATTTCGTCGTTAGTTTAGTTTGGACGGCTGACTCTCGCTCAGCTCGTCTGTCGATAGTCGTCTACGGGCCATTTAACTATTTGCCGATTATTATTATTGAGCTTGAACGACTTTCTCAATATGACTACGACGACGTCAGTGTACAATTAGGCCTTTGCTGAAAAATTCGCCTACCTATTTATATTAGCTCGTACGTCAGTTTACCTGAGAAGACGTGAAACGCTGGCTGGACTGGGCTATCATGAGCAGGACAGAAAAAAAAAAACAGGTATACACTAATAAATTAAAAGGTACTATCACCGCTGCCTGCCCTTACGATTAGAAGCTCGAGCAAGCAGTAAAACAGTACATTCGATCTTGAAAGCGTAGGCAAAATACACTTCGCTTTATCGCCTGCCAGGTAGTAGTAACATACAAGGACAATGATAACAAACCGCATGTTTTACTTTCTACCACTCTGTGGGCTTTGGCCATGCGACAAAAAAGCTTTTCCTAAGGTAAACGTGCATTTTTCAGCCGTATTCTGTAATGAACACGAGTATTTCTATCGTCGGACACGCTATGAGGATTGAGTATACAGTGCACGACGATCAACTCTTTAGTTCGACTCCTGGCAGAGACTCATCGCCATTTGCTTTAACTCCCTGCAAGGTTACGTTTGATTTCATACCATTACATATTCTACATTTCGTTTACTCGAGCACGAATTCGAAATTACATGAACATTCATTTAGTATTAGTGAGAAATTCAAATTACTAAGTGTTCCGTCGATTAATAGTGGCCTGTTCGTATCAGCTTTAAGGCTGTCTAGACGGCCCCAAACCAATCGGGTAGGACGCTTGAATGGCGCTAACGAGTTTCGGTTGTACGCCTTGTCAGAAATTGTCTACCTAAGAAATGTTATACGTTTCGACTAGCAATTTACTACTGAGTTTCTTCTTTTTTTTTTTTTTATTTATAACCGTTGTAGTGCGTGCATGAGGCATCAGTAAATCTACCACTATTGAGGGTGAAGGAAGGTCTTGCTCGAGAATAGTCCGAATCAGCTATCGTAGTAGTAACAGCCTATTATCCTGTCACGATGCAGACCTTTCGGTGCATACTGAAGCCAGTGCGAGATAGATGCCTGCATTGTAGAGAAGTTCGGAGATCATAGTTGAAGCCATCACAATTTTGGTGCGGAAAACTGCGAGGAATCCGACCGAAACCGTTAGGGAAAAATCGTTAAATGCTGCGGGCGCATATGCTGTAGTAGTATCCAAATAAATGTTTAGCCCTAAGCGTTATCCACGCCATGGTGAAGTGGTGGTATGTTTGCTTACTAAATTCAGAGACACGCAGCGGCCGAAGTTGAACGTCCGTTTTTTTCTATGCTTTAACCGTCTGAATCAATACTTATCTAGTCAGTACCCCCCCAGCTACTAGTACTCCGGACCGCAATCTCACGCGACCGCAATCTCACGCGCTAGTTCATATGCTAAATATCGCCTCAGAATAGCTCAGTTTCTACGATACAATCTATTGGTGGTTCTGTTTCGAAAGCGAAATCTGTGACCGATGAATTTCATCAGTGAGCGCTATACTTAAGCGTTTAACAGTGGAGAAGGTGTTGAGCTCTTAGCCTAGCCTTATTTTGCCCATAGTCGCACGGTATTCGAACCTCGAGTCAATGGAAGAACCGACTTTTCGACGCAGGAAGAACGTTCTGCAATGGCTCTCTCTGCCAATGGCCTTACTAGCTAGGCTCTATTTTTGAAAACAGCTCATTCGACCACGGGAGAGTATCAACATTTGTAATAGACATTTATGAGAGCACTGAATTTAGAGGCGATGCGACTTTCAAAACTTACATACAGGCGACGTCCTTCCCGAGAACGTAACGTTTTCGAAACACAATTTGTTAACAAAAAAAAAAAACAATCCTATCTGACAGATGTTTTGTAAACTAAGCATATTGAACACAACGACCGGTAGTTCGACGTTACTCCTCAACAAAACCCAGTACACGAGATTGGGAAATTTATGCACTAAACGTTTTTTTTCCGGTAAAGGTTTTTCCTCGCCGAGTGGCTAATTCCATCTACATTGCATATTATATCGTTGATAATGTGCCTGTGGCGGGTAGTGCGGTGTATAAAGTTGACCTTGCAATATTTGATGAGGCCCATAACTTGGTCGCTGATAGGATGAAGGTCGCTGATCAACCGGCGGCTGGTGAGATATCTGTTGATTGTAAGTATACTGAGTACAGCCACCGCCGCCTAGGTTGTTTGCAGAAGTAATTGGTAATATGGGGTCATAAGCCGCTCCGTCATGGGCGCCAAATGTTTGGTGAAGAATACTCGCTGTCACCAAAGCTGTCAGCGTCGTGGTGACCGCTTGCGTCAACATCGTTGCTGCGCCGGCGCTTATCTTCGACGTCGTTTCGGCTAAACCGAACAGCGAGCTAGGCGACGTAGCACTAAGGGCGCCACTTAAACTCGTGGCGTTCTCATATGTCGGTGCAGTCTCAATTAGCTCGAAGTTATCGTTAACTGCAAGGTTATGTGCCGGCATAAATACATTTTCCAGGTCGAAGTTAGGGTGGCTTAACGCATCAATTAGCTCTTTGTAATGATCACGATAAACAGCCGCTTTGCGCTTGAACTCCGTCAAATCGCTTTTATATTCGTTGAGTTTTTCCCTCGTAGCGTCCAAGCGATACCTAAGCGCTTCGTCCTCTGGATTCTGCTGAGCTCGTTTCGTAAGCTCTTTTAAATCTCTTTCCGTTCTCGTTATATAGCCGTCTCGTCTGAAGTACTCCCGTAACGCTATCCTCTCCTTCCATTTTAGAAAGTTTTTAACTTCCTTTATTTTCCATGCTTCTTTCGGGTCGAAACGCGACTCGATCTCTCCGTATTTCATGTTCTGTCCTTGACAAAGTGCTGATACACCGCTGTAGTTCTAAGAATTCACTTACCGGCCCGACAGTTTCAAAGACGCTTCGTTGTTGATAAGCTTCCGATGGCCTGCCAGAGATATTGCTTCGGCTAGCGAACGAACAAATTTCGTCATTCCATTAAAAAAACTCGTATTTGTGCTGTGATAGTGTGGTACGTACGCAGTCTCCAAATAAGAAACGCACGCCAACTTTTGGCGGGGTCAAATAAATGAACAAAGATGCAAAGTGTTCGAAGGGAATAGAATACCCCATAGAAACATGTCGACCCGTACCATAACCGTAACATAGTCACTCACATTTTTATACCTTTAGATTTTTTAGCAGAATTTCAAATGATCGATAATCCATGTAAAGTTTACAGATATATCCCCCTATCCAAATGTGTTTCAAACAGCTGAACGGCTCTCGAACCCGAACTTCATTTAAATGGGGTAAACATGAGCAGCTGGATGTTGGCAATGCACCGGGTTACTCATATCGTCCTTGATGAATTAAAGTGTTTATTGAGTGGAGAAAAATTATGGTATAATAATAGATTGTTACATATTGCCAGTGATTTTGTGAAACGGTTTTTGTTAGAAAGCTGTCTAGCTAGTATGTTGATGTTACCAATAAAACGTTTTGAAAAAAAAACATCTTCTGCGAAGGTTCGTAGCGCGAACAGGAGGACCGTGTCTATTAGCAAGCTAGAAGTTGCCACCTCGAACGTGAAGTAGCATACATGAAAAACATAACTGGGCAAGTTATTCCTATTATACACTGTTGTTTGTTTCTATCGATGGAATCAACGAATGTTATGTTTCTGTGTACCATTCCTCTATTTCGGAACGTGTGGAAGGGTTATGAGTTGCACATTCTGACTCTCTTGCAAACAATGGATGATATAAAGAGGCACAATGAGAGCACTGAATGTCTACAGCGTTCACAGAAGTACGGCCGCCGTTGTCAATAAAAGTCGTGCTTGACTCTGAGAAATTAATTGTTTACCGTTATCGACTGGAACGGCAAGATACAACAGATGCGACTTCTGCTAAGGCGTTGGTACAGTCACAGTTTGTCATATGGAGCGTAAAAATTTATACTCGTTTGGCCGCTATTGGTGGCCTATGTTGCGGATATGCAGGTGTACTAATATATAACTGCGGGCAAGTAGGACAACGAAGAAATTACTGTTGTAGGCAAGGGCCGCGGAAGTCTGTTGAAAATGAAAACGTCGAGGTAATATGGAATTCGATCGTTGTGCAACAATGTTCTTTAATGCGTTTTGCTACTATGACGAACCCTTTTGTTCGTTCGTTCGTTCGTTCGTTACATGAATATTGATCAATTAAGGCTTATAAACCAGACATATACATACGCCATATAACGTCTCAGGTTATTTGCTCGGTATAATAAAAACTGACAATTGCAGAAGCGTTTCCTTATCCATATAAATCGAAAGCGCTACTCACAATAATACTCTATTGATTGCTGTTAGTAACCACCCTGACAGGTACGGGCCTCAATCCTACCTGTGCTTTGAACTGTTTTCATATTAAACCTGCCGCCATTCTGAACAGGTGCATAAAAAAAACTTGCCACTAGACTAATGAAGTTCTGTCGAACTCAACATTTTGCACCATCAGACTGCACACCTCAGTTAAATATAACGCTTTTAGTAATGTATTGATATACGCTTTGACAACGACTAGTTCTGATTAGCGTAAAACTATCTTCACCACCCAACACTGCCGAGGGGAGATGGCATCAGTAATTCTATACAAAAAAAAAAACATCGATCGTACAAACGCGTTATTCTTTTCTTTCTAACACCTTCAAGAAAAACTCCACTTTCTTACTCTAAACGCCAATCTGCTCACTCAGTGATAAGGTTTCTCTTGGATGTTTCATGTTTATAATCTAGATAGAAGAGCTTTTGGTATCGATCACCTTTTGTATCGCGTTAGTGTGTGAATCCCATCTATTGACACTTGTGTATTCATTGAGTATTTTCTAGGTGTAGCAGCAGCCATTAAATGACGTCCAGACCAACTCTACTATGTTCATTTAAACAAACTATACATAAAAAAGCTGCTATGCTAATTTTCCGTGTGGCGTTTGCTAAGCCTAATCTTCCATAGTAATGCCCTGTGCAGAGAGCAGGCGTACGGCTTAAGCAAAAAACCTGTCACAATCAGTAAATGATGCGGCACTCCGCTGAACCAAGCTGCTTGTGTCAGCCATTATCAGACGAAGCACCCGGCGCATAAAGGTAAGCCGGTGAACAGCCGAGGCCTTAGCAGAAGTATGCCTAGTTTAATTAAGTAGGTTCTACAACTAGGCAAGAAG